GCAAGCTAGTAATTTGAGTTCATTATATAAATAATATGACAATCAATATATGTTGTTCAGGGCACACAGAATAATCCAGGGATAGATGGATGGAGAGAGATATAGACCTCTCTGTGTGTGTGCATATATACATATATCATGTGTATTGTATATCTGCATGTGTTATATATAACATATATAACACTATATATAACAGTGAACTGTTATATATACACCATATCCTCAGAGAGACACAATGATCATTCGAGAGGTGAAATACTTTGCTCTCTAAAGAGTCTTGATTTTTTGTAGTCTCAGCTAATCAGGAGGCTGAGGCAGGAGGATTGCTTGAGCCCAGGAGCTCAAGGTCAGCCTGGGCAACTTAGTGAGACCCCATTTCTATAAGAGTCTAAGTTTATTCTTTTTTTTTTTTCTTTCCTGTCTACAGCGGTTGCTGATGCTATTAGAACAAGCCTTGGACCAAAAGGAATGGATAAAATGGTAAAAGCCGAATCATTCAATTCATTCAGTTTTTACTGTGCACTGCAAATTCTTGATGGAGGCTTAAGAAGTGCTGTTTAAAAAGTAGGAAGTGTTAGAGAGGTACCTTGAGCGTTTAGAGGAGGGGGAGATTACTTTCCGGTAAACAAGACTTAACCATAATTCATATTTCATTTAACGCTTTTTAATCGATGAGAGTGCATACACAAAAGTAGTTATTTGTTGTATACTAAATCCAGGCATTAGGGCTGAGTTCAGTGTTCCTTATGGATGTAACTGTCCTATTATAGGTCTGTGGGAAATAAAATAATATGGAGCATTGCCTGGATAATTATTCCCTCTGGATATTCTAAAATCTATCCTTCCTAATAATGCTGCTGTTCTTTGTGAGGATACTATGAAAACTATATTGGCTGTAAGAATTGTGTTCACCACATTGCATAGTGCTGTCTTTTCAGACATCCATGGTAGAAATTATGTTTCTGATTAATATGAAATCAGGAATGATAGTGAGTGATTCTTCATCGTATCTTTTCTATCCTTTCTTTCTTTTTTTGGTGTCTAAATTCCTTCACTTTTAAAGTACACTGGAACAAAGCCCATTTTTTCTTGTGTAAAGTTGGGCTGTTATTGCATATTCTTAAATTACTATACTGATATAAGGGAAGAGAATTTAAAATTAAGCACTGAGCAAACATAAATTAACTTCTTTACTGTGAAGTATTAGAATTTAGTAGGGCTGTTAGGGTGTCACATTGAAATGTAACTTTCAAAAAAAAACAAATTTTCCAGATTCAAGATGGAAAAGGTGATGTGACCATTACTAATGATGGTGCCACCATTCTGAAACAAATGCAGGTATTACATCCAGCAGCCAGAATGGTAAGTACAATTTTAGGTGAGGTGTTTTGTTTTGTTTTTTTAAGTGTATTGTTTGATATTTGGTAAACAGTTAAATTTGTTTAT